ATGCAAAGGCCCTCCTAGCCACAGCTGCTGCCTGCTCTTTGAGCAGGAGCCGTGAGTCCAGGAGGACCCCCAGATTATGTACTGGGTCTGTCTGAGGCAGTTCCAACCCACCCAACAGCAACAATGGAAGGCTTCCAGCACTAGAAGGTCCAGTGCCACTCAGTCTTGCTTTCATTGAGCTAAAGCCTGTTGCACCCCTTCCAGGCCCCACAGCCTCCAGACACCGGGACAGGACATTCATGGCATCACTCAGGCGGCCGGGATGGAGGTAAAAAGCTGGGTATCATCCACATAATGTTGAAGTCCAACTCATTGATTCATTCTTTTTTTAAAAAAACTACTTGCAGTAAATTGGCAGGCAAAGTAAAGACGAAGGCTAGATAATGTGAAGCAAGAATGGCAAAAAAAGAGGTGGGTATTTAAAATTAAATTTATTACATACAGTTAATATGCTTGCATACATGGAAAATTGAAATGCTAACATCAGAGGTGTTCCCAACCTTTGTGAGATACATCAATCCCTTTGCAGGTAGAAAGCAGACAAGAGACCACTTAGACAGTTTTTATATTAACAGAGCTGGAAGTATTTTAAACGTTTGTACTAGTACTAGCATAGATATATCTAAATCAGTGGTGCTGGTGATAGTGGTGTTGTTAAGAAAACAGTATGTTTTTCATAGGAAGAAATTAATCTTTACACAGATCATTATGCATTGCTGCAGGCACATTTCCAAGTGGGTTTAATAATCCTACAACCCCCATTTTTCATCATCTCTCTGGAGACACACCATCTTATGTGATTTCAGCATCTAATAAACTTGCATGGAATGTTTGCACAGCCAATCTCCAAGTCCACCCAAAAACAGTTGGGCAGTTACAGTTCTTGATGTTACACAGCAGTGCCCCTTGCTGGCTATTTGCAAAGTTGCAAAGAATTTTCACAACAGCTTTTCTGGTTAAATTGTAGCCTTGCGACAGTGTTGAGGTCCTCTGGCGCCACTGTGACTTCACTGCCTTGTTCTGAGGAAGCATCCATTACTCAGGGTCAACTCAGTTGAGGAGTACTTCAGGGGCCTACAGTACTGTGACTGGAATCCTTTCTATATGACAAATACTTTTAAAAACTAAACAGTGGCTGGGTTCATACAACATACTAAAACTTAAACCCATATTACCTAAACACAGTTGCTGCGTTAATGTAACATGCTATGCCCAAATAAAGAAACTATATTATGCCTGAATGGGATAGCCTGATTCTTTAGTGGGACAAGGGAATGGCCTTGAGGAAGAGGAGGAAGAGCCTCTGCCAAGACAATGGTCAGATAAAAAAAAAAAAAAACGGAGTCCAGGGCAGAACTATAACTTGACAAAATGTCTCAGACAAGACCTTTACCAGTTCTCATGAAGATAAAGGGGGGGGGGGGAAGTGCATTCAGACTTGCAAGGTTCTGTTTCTATGTCTTTATAATAAAAATAATATTGACCTGCATGACTTTGGTTTCCTAGTCTGGTCTACCTTGAAGAGCCCTTCAGATTCATTGATGATTATGATCTTGTGCCATCAAGTCGTTTTCGACTCCTAGGAACCACACAGATAGATTTTCTCCATGGTGATCTATCCCTAACCTGTTCTTTCAGGACTCCCAATGCCACTGCAACTGAGTCCATCCACCTTGCTGTTGGTTGTCCTCTTCTTCTCTTTCCTTCTACCTTTCCCAGCATTACAGCCTTTTCCAGAGAGCTAGCTCTTTGCGCAATGCGTCCAAAGTAGGATAATTTAAGCCTGGTCATTTGTGCCTTGAGTGAGAACTCCAGGTCGATTTGTTTGATGATCCATTTGTTTGTTTTCTTGGCTGTCCTCAGTATTCTCAGGAGTCTTCTCCAACACCAAAGCTCAAAAGTGTCAATACTCTTCCTGTCCTGCTTCAGATTCATACAATATGGTAGATCAATGGCTGGGTTCCCACAAGACCCTAAAGCCTCAAGTATCCAAATGTTTTAGCCTAGCATGTTTTGAGAATCCAGCAGTAGCAGCAATGATCAGCAGGAGCTGCAGCTATAGACAATATGGGTGCACCATGGCAAGACAGTGGGGGGACCAAAAATGATACCCCTTTCCAAGGGCATATGTTATTCTTTGCCGCATATCTTGCTGTGGCTACTGGCAAAACTCCTTCTAGGAGTTGAGTCCCAGACAACTGGAAGTAATTAGGTTGAGGAAGATTCATTTCATTTTGTATCCCACCTTGTGTCTAAGAAACCCAGGGTCCCTTGAGGTAAGTACTGCAAGTAGTGTTGTGTATTGAGTTATTATTATTGATTGATTAAGCATACCTGTGTATCATTAGTTAATTAACTTGGGCCTCATGTGTATGTTGTAATTCTTGCAGATTCACTGGAGTTAGTTCTTCTGCAAGTTTCAGAAAAAAAAGCAGCAGAAAACCTGCTCCTGAGGCACGCATCTTTTCTTTGATCAGTAGCACTGCTCAGACAAGAAGCACTGACAGAAAATGACTGGCACAAAGTCCTCTAGGTCTCAGCCTCAGTCCCCATCTAACACTCTAACTGCTACCCCACACTGGATTAGACTTAGATTCAGCAGTCTGTTGATGATGGAAATAAATTCACCACAAGGAAGACAGTTAAAAGCAGTCATAACCCAGAGTGTTTGTGCACAATGTGTGTTCATGTTTATAACTTGCATTTATCAGTATTGCTTGGATGTTTGTGTCTAGTTTCATGTGTGAAGGTACATATGAGGAAGATGGCTGAGATAATGAAGGGGAATTGAACAAAACAGCATAATCTGTATTTGTACAATGATTTATCACTCCCCTAACTCAGCTAATTGCTAACCCAACAGTAACACTTCCCTGAGCCCAGGACAAGCTGGTTGCACACGCTAGCTTTTCATAGCCTTGTACCCACAGGGTTTTGCATGTGGCTGCAACCTCTGGCTCTAAATGCTTCATGTCTCCTGAACAGGTCTCTCTTCTGGCCAAAAGGATACGGTCTTGGGGTGTGGTGTGGAAGGAGGAGATGGCAACATTTAATTTCTAAGAGTTTAGAAATACAGCAGACTGTTTTCCAGTGGGTGGGGAGGAAGGGCTGGCTTCTTGTGTGAGCCTCTTTTTTCTTTTGCTAGACATAAAGAAATTCCCCTTGTTGCTCTAAAGCAGCGCTGAGCAACTTTGGGGAAAGCAGCTGAGGACCACAAGTGGAGGGAAATGCTGGAAGCAGCAGTCCAAAAATCAGATGGGACCATGAGAAAAATGACATTTGGTTTGATTTCCTTTGTATTTAATTCAGACTGAATGTAATCAGTGAAATACAAATTATATAAGACTATTACCCTAAAGTCACATTAAAAGAAACCATTTTGGGAAAAGCTCTAGCAACTGCAATGAACTTTTTCAGGTTGAGTACTTCTACTATAAGGTCTCACATTGGCCAGTTTGTTGCTTAAATGAAACCACCACCCTTTTCTGCCCCTGCTTGCCTGCTCAGAATTTGGTTGCCATCCAGACTGACTGTGATGGTTTCCTTGCAAAATTAAGAGAAGTATTGTATACATTTTGTTTCATCAGACATCCAGATATTATGGTAACAGCAGCCTTTCTCCAACCTGGCCTTCTCCAACTCTGTTCTAAAATTTCCAACCAGCACAGCTAAGGATTGGCTGGGAATTCTGGTCACTGCAGTCCCAACATATCAGAAAGGTGCCAGGCTGAAAAAAAGCTGTGCTATCACAAAATGTCTAGGTTGCTTGGGACCTGTTCCCACAAGTCATCTAGGAGGAAGGTGAGCCTGATCTGGTTGTAGGCCTAGTTATAGGTGCATAGTTTTGGAAAGCGACTATTTCTCTTGAATTTTCAAATGCTTTTAGGCTTAAAAACTAGGGGGACGGGTATGAGGAGGAAGGATGACCTTCATAACACTATTTCCCAAATACATATTTGTTCTGCCATTACTTTGATGCACTGAACTTCAAACCTT